AGGGGGGCGGGAAGTGGGAAGGAGTGGAAGGGGCGGGGCTAGGGCGGGGCTCCTCCTGTCCTCTTTTTTGCTTGCTGAAATATGGTAACCCTAGCTATTTAGTGCCTTGAAGGAAGTTTATTTAAATCTGAATAGCAGGGACCCAGTGTTGAACATTCAGTACTACTCCTAATGCAAGGACGTACATCTGAAACAAAGAATGTAGGTTACACTTACAGGATGGAGGACTATATCCTGGAAAGCAGTGACTGTGAAAAGGACTTGGCAATTATGGTGGATAACCAGCCGAATAAGAGCTCCTAGTATGATGCTGTGACTAGTGCTCATGCAGTTCTTGGATGTATACACATGGGATTATTGAGTAGGAGTAAGGAGGTGGTATTACCTCTGCAGACAGCATTAATCAGACCTTCTGGAATATGTGTCCAGTTCTGGAGTCCACACTTGAAAATGATACTTCACTTCCGTGCCCTAACCCCTACTCCTTGGAATGTCGATGATACAGTACAATGTGTTACAGTGCAATCAGATGACTTCTCTTCTGGTATTCTACACAGCTCCCATGATGACTTAATGAAACAAAACATAAGCCCCCCGCCTATTGGCCAAGCGACTGACATTTTCTATTAGTTCACCTAATAGAACCTGCAGGACATTTTGCTTACAGCATCTTCCCAGTTTGCCCAATTATTAGAGTTCTAATGCAATTTCTCACGATTGTCTTTTCACCTCAGGTGAAAGTGTTTAGCTTCTGTGGCTTGACTGAAAAATTGAAGAATATAGTACTTATTATTTTGTAACCATTGTATAATAAATCTCACCATAGACTGGTTTAGAAACTGCAAATGAATAATTTATTTAAATTAAGACCAGGGTGGTTTGTTTAGATACAAGCTAAGAACTGACCCAAGGCTTTTGCTAATGGTCAAATTAAACCTTAAAAAAAAAGTGTATTGAGATTTGAAGAGTTTTCCCTATCCTACCTAATTCCCCCATTAATTTACATTTTTTGCACCACTGCATTTTCTGCCTCTGTCAGGGCCGGCTCCAGCATTTCTGCCGCCCCAAGCAATCGCGACCGGCGGCGGCAATTGGGGGAGGGGGAAAAAAAAAGTCGCAATCGGCGGCGACGGCAGTTTGGCGGCAGGTCCTTCGCTCCTAGAGGGAGTGAGGGACCTGCTGCCCCCGAATTGCCACACGTGCCGCCCATCTCCCTTGGCCGCCCCAAGCACCTGCTTGTTAAGCTGGTGCCTGGAGCCGGCCCTGGCCTCTGTTATGTTCTGGTCTGGATCTTCTAAAATACTACATCAGAGGCTTTGGTCAAAGCTTGCTTTCCTTCTATTTCAGGTCCTAGTATGGGTGCCACTAACATCAGTTAATATATTTATCCTCACAACTCCCCTGTGATGTAAGAAAATGCTATTACTTTCCCATTTTTTCAGAGAAATTAAGTGACTTGCCCAAGGTGACACAAGAAGTCTGTGGTATAGCAAAAGAATTGAATCCAGCTCTCTGGCAGGTCAGGTTAGTGCACTAACCACTGGACTGTTTTTCCTCCAAAGCACCCACTAAAATCCAGAAAAGACAAAAGAATGCAATGCCATTTCACTGAAAGAATACTGGAAAAGGTGAAGGAAATAAGGAAATACTAGTTCTTTCTTCCTGACAGCACTGGGGGGAAATCAAATGTTTCTGTATTGGTAATAACATTTTGATAAGGTGTGTATTCGCCTGGGAATCACTTGTCTCTGTAGCAATGTCTGGAGAATGCAGGATTTTTTCGGTTTCAGTGGAAGGTAAGAAAATATGTGCTTTGTTCTGCTGAGAAACAAGGATCCTTTCTTTTATCTCCTTTATCTTTCATCTCCAGTAGCAGCCATTAAGCTGATCAGGGCAGTTTTTCAGTGTTAGGGTTTAAAGGGAAAGAGTAATGCTGTCACAACAGAGATCGAGAGTCTGAAAACACGTAGCAAGTCTTACTGCCAGATACCTTACACTGGGCTTTAGAGTGCCATGTGATAGTGTGTTAGCTGCACACAGATTGCATGTCACTCTGGAGCAGCTGTAAAACATCTAGTAAAACTAATGTTTCTCTCTCTAAAGCATGCTGAACATTTTAAGGCGCAAATGCCCATTGATTTGGGTTGTTGAAATGTCTGGGTGTCTAACTTAGATAGTTTGGGCCTGATTTTCAGAAGCATTGGCAAGTTCAGTTGACTTTGTTGTTTGAGTGCTCAGGACCTCTGAAAATGAGGCCCATGGTTTCTCCAGTTGGATACCCAAAAAAACAAGGTGCCCAAAAATCAGAAGCTGCTTTTTAAAATTTAGGCCTAATTATTAAGTAATAGTTCAGTGCAAGCTATTATCATGTTTGGTCCAAAGATTTCAAAGCAATATGCATGAATGAATTTAGGACATTAGTTTCCAAACATCTAAAATAACATACTGGCCCCAGGGGAGTTTTGCGAGTGACTTCAGTGGGCCAGAACCTCACCTCTAGTTTGGATCTTAGATAGTAATTTATAAAAAATATCTCTATGTTAAAAATTCTACACCCCTTAGGTAGCTCTGAGCCACATGTTACCAACTGGGTTGTGTTGTGGTGTTGCTAGTTCTTTTTGCACTGACTAGATTGCTTTTTGTAATACATTGCTTTTTAGCACACTGAAATTGTGGGCTTCTGGGTTTTTCCTGAATCCCCCATCTTTAGCCTTGCTTGTCCTTTATAATATTATACACTAAAGAAGAGCTGATTGCAAAATAGTCTATTTTCCCCCTTTGCTCTGCAGGATCTCCAATCTAAAATATTTCACAATCATTCCCATATATAAAATATTCCGCCTTTGTAAACTATTCCATTTTCCCCCTCTCAAGACAGCATTGGCAGGGGGCAGCTCCTGCTATGACATTAGTAGTTCAGAGACTGAGGTTCAACTTTCTACTAGAGAGCTGCAGAGAACCCCCAGAATAATAAAATAGCATTGCTTGTGCTCCATGAAAACAGGGTTTCTTCTTTCCCCAGATAACATTACTTTCTCTTTTCTTGTGCAGTTGTTCTGATGTACTCAATATACAGAATACACAATAATGTCTTACCCTCTTTTAAAACATCTATTAACCTTAAAAAGTCCCTTTCTGTAAGTTAAAGCAAAATAAATTTGACCGCATCCTCAGAGGATGGTTTGCCAAGTGATGCCCTAAACTCCTCTATAAACGGATTATCAACCAGACTGAAGCAGACTGTGGAAATCTTTGTTGCTTTCCAAGAAATATACATTGAAAATGATTGTTTCCCCTTTATATAACCTACTAGACATACAGTATTGCTGCAAATTTTATACTGGAACTAACTCTGTGCATATATTTATAGAGGGGGAGGTTTGTTTTAGGGTTTTTGCTTATAACATCTAATCAATTTTTTCTTTTTACTAAAAATATACAGTTTGAAGTAGAGATGTGAGAAATTATCTAGGAAGAGTTCACGTTTTTAAACCAATTTGCTTTAACCGCATTCACTTTTTTGGTCTGTTTTCAGTGACTATTCTAACCAAAAAAATTCACTGTCAGGAATATTTCCAAATTCTAAATAAATATGGAAGACTATGCACCAAATATTGGAGACTATGCACAGACAGTGAATATCTGGTCCATGACTATGAATACTCACACCAGAAAACTGATTCTAACAGTTACACATACTAATCAGAGCACAGATAGAAACAAGGCTACCTAAAAGATTAAATTTTGAATCGTGAATATTCACAATCAGTTGCTTGCATGAAATCTACAGGTCACAAATTATTCACAGAAGTTATTCAGCAAATCAGTTTGAACAGTGAATACATCCTAAACGATATTGATCTGTGCAAAGAGAAAAAATGTAACTTTTTGGAATTGATCATAAATTATTTGCCCAGCTCTAGCTAGCAGCAACAACCACCCTGGGAATGTTTATAGTGTTTCACAAGATAGGAACAGGAATGCCACATCACTGTTAGTGAATTTTGCAAAGTAAATAGCAAAATATTTCTTCCCATATCAGTTGGGGGAGTGACAGACTATTTCGCAGGGAAATTGACATATATCGTCTTTAGCAACAGCACCTTTTGCAGTCATGCACTGAACATCGCAAACCCCAGTGCTTCTAATTTGAGTTGGCATCAGCTGAAGGACAGTGGAAGCTTTTCCAGGACATTGGCAATATTTCTTGTTTGTTACAATTAGTGATGTGAGATCTGCAACTTCCATCTGCACAGTGCAGTGAGACCAGAGGGCACCTCAGGTTAATGACTTGAAAGGCAAGCAGGTTAATGACTTGAAAGGCAATCCAACACACTTCAATTGGCTGACCCAGAGGTGTAGGTGAAAAGCTTTCATAAATGGTTCAGTATAAAGAAACAAAGGTCTGTAAATTCAGAGTGAGAACAGAGTTTTTATTGGCGGGGCAATATTAGGCATAGGCAGTTGTCGAGGGCACCACATCTAAGGAAGTATATTAGTATTGGGCGTGACATATTCACTCACTAAGATCACTGCTATATTCTTCTTCTCTCTCCCTGTAGAGGAGTCAGCTCACATTTGCCTCTGCACGCAATTGAGCAAACTTGGACTGTCTTTTTGAAGGAGGAAATGATGTAGACAGGGAACAGGATGGGTTGCTATGATGGATAGGATGAAGGGAAGCAGGGAGCTGTTGAGGGGGTGCCACATCCCATCTCGTTTAGGCTTAGAATCCACGTAGAACAGTAAGTAGATGACGTCAAAACCAACAGCTTCAAATCATGAGATGACCCACTAAGAGAAAAACATGAGACATTATCAGCAGTGCAATCCTGTGAAAGCTGTGAATGTCTTGAGCAAAGCCATGAATAAGGCTACGATTTTGTCACGGATATTTTTTGGTAAAAGTCATGCACAGGTCATGGGCAATGAACAAAAATTCGCGGAAGCCCGTGACCTGTCCCTGACTTTCACTAAAAGTATCTCTGACAAAAGGGGTAGGAGGGGTCAGCACCCACTGCTGCTGGGGCTCCTGGTCCCCCACCACTGCACTGTGTGGGAACTCCGGGGTCCCCCTGCCGATGGAGCTGGGCTACTGTAACATCCCCTCACCCCCAGGGGCAGCTGGGAGCTGCAGGGTCCCCCGGCTGTGGCCAGCGGCTGGGCAGCAGCAGGGAATCTCCACTGCCTGTCGGCTGAACAGCTACAAGGTGGTCCCCCTGCTGCCCGCTGCAGCTAGACAGCTGCGGTGGAGTCCCCACTGCCTGCAGTGGCTGGTGAGCTGCGGGGTCCCCCCACAGAGCGGGGGCAGGAAGCTGTGGGGATGGGGCTGGCTGGGAGCTCCAGCCCTGGGACAGAAAATGTCAGGGAGGTCAGTGGAAGTCACAGATTCAGTGACCTCCGTGACATAATTGTAGCCTTAGCCATGATCACTCTGGGGTAGATTACACAATAATCAAGGGAGGGAACACCCAATCAGTGTTCAATAAGGATATGAACTAGTGGGTTCCAGACTTGGATGTAAGATTTCTACCTATGACATATTGCCCCTACATAATCATGATGGCCTCCATAGGTGCTGGAACTAGGGGTGCTGGGGTTGCTGCTGCACCCCCTGACTTGAAGTGGTTTACATCATATACAGGGTTTACAGTTTGGTTCAATGGCTCAGCACCCCCACTATAAAAATTGTTCTAGCACCCCTAATGGCCTCAGCTTCTTAGGAATCTCTTCCACAAATGCAGAACGCTGTGGTGTAAGCCGGAGCGAAGTATAAAGGGTCAGTCTCAGACCTGCTAATATCAGGGCATTGTTTAAAAAAAGAACACTTGAAATATAACTAATTTGCCCATTCTCTCCAGTGCTTTGCAATGTGTGCTGCACACTAGCTGGTTGTTTCTTTGCACTCCAGAGGTGACTACATTAGTGTTGCTGGCTGACTGTCTGGCTGGATAGATAGATAGATATAGATATAGCTTGTATTGTGATTTGAGAACCTTCAGAATGAAAGATGCAATAGACATGTAGATTATTATTAATAGCAGTAAATAGTTCTATTTCCTACATTTGTATGTACGCTGTTTGCTTACATTGGTCTGATAAGATGTTGTGTTGAGATATTCCAGTAGCAGCTACATAGCACCACCCACTGTATACCAGATAGTCACTATCTAGCCAGTGTATTGCATAACCCAGATGTCTTGTATTTTGGGGACGGAGAGGAGCCTTTATAGGCAAGTGGAGAAAAGCAGTGAGCAGGTAATTAGAAGGTGCCATGAAGCAAGTCCAGTCTTCATGGCATTCCATAGACTGATTACTGTTTCCAAACTGGGGCTACAGTCAACTTAAAACCAGTCCTTCTTGTTATTGTGCAGGTGCGTGAAGGTTCCTGGACCATATGGTTTGCTACTGCAATGGGTCTTATTCTTTATTCAGGACATGATCCTGTAACTGAATATCAGTTAATAACTTTTCATAATAATTCCGCTTGTATCAACTTCTAGGTACAGAGGGAAGCCAGGCACAAAGCTCCTTCTTTGTCATACTTCAGCTGTGCCTCTGGAACACCTGCAGAGAAAAGGGTCTCTGTAACAGACCTCACGGTAATAACCACATCCTGGGTCCACTTATTGACATCTGCAGGTTCAAAAAGTGAAGAGGCCAGGGGGTGGATCCAATTTTTTCCCCCCAGAGGACTGTGTCTGCCATTTTAAAGACAAGCTAGCAAGGAGCTGAAAAGGCTTTCAAAAGATTTTGTCAAAAGCCTTTCGTGTGAGGACTGAGCACAGAATCAGCAAAATTAGGTCTAATGTGACAGGAGAACAACCAATCCTATTTAGTGTTCCTTGCCCATCAGCCTACACTGCAAATAGTAGTACACCTGGAGGCATGAGCAGATGCTGAAAGCGTAAAGGACACTAAAGGGTAAGTGACAGTTACACTTGTGTCTGGAGCAGGAAAGATGTGTCTGGGGTGGGGTTTGGATGGGGAGAGGTAGGTTATTGTGGTGGGATACTGTGAGTAAGATGTTTCTGAAATGATTTCAGTGAGATTATTCATACAAAATTATCCCATTGTGCAATAGAGCTAAACCCAGAGGATGATGCTGACTGGAAAACCAACTGTCCCATAAGGCCAGGGATTGGAGGTTGCTCTGGGCGATGGAGAATGTTGAACTGAAATGTGAACTGGGGACTGTGTTTGGGATTACCTCATGATGACATTTGAAGTAAGGAATTTCCAGGCATTTTTCTCATTCGCTCTGTGTTTGTGCTAGAGTTGAGGGAAGTACATAGGTAGGATCCTCAGCATCTATGGATCTGTGTGGATTTGGAACTATATAAAATGAGAGAGGCCACAGATTAGCCCCTATATGTGGCAGACAGTCTGGGTTTGATGGGTCCAAACTTCTGTGGAGAAGGGCTCTGTCAGGCATCGGAATGTTCTACAAAGACAAATATCATTTTAAAGTTCAGACCACAGTTACTGCTACCTCTTCCTCTCTGACCTCCCTGATACCCAGATTGCCCTTTCTTCCAAGCCATACAAACCCAACTGCCAAGATGACCTCCCTTGCCTGTCAGTCTAACCATGTCCCCTTCATTACTCTGTTCCACCTCACTTATCTGCTCCTATCTCACAAGGGCATCCTGCCCTTTTCTGCTCTGTCAATGAGGCCAACCTCGACCACCCATTTGTTCATCTCTCTCACAAACGTGTCTTCACTTCCTTCCACACCACCCCCTGTGCTTGGAATAACCTCACTGAACTGACCAGTAAGAGCACTACCCATGTGTCCTTCATATCCCTCCTCAGGACCCATCCAGTTGTGCAGATACTTAACCTGTGTGAATGTGAGATCTTGTTTCTGCTGCCCTTCTTCTCTCTGCACACCCTTTGATTTCCCCTCAATTGTTGCATCTTGTCTTAAATTATACCTTTAAATTTCTTGCAGTAGGTTATTATGGTGGGATATTGTATGTCGGACATTTGTGGAATGATTCCCAGTCAGATTGTTTGTTGTGCTTCCTATATGTTTTTAAAGTGGGGCCCCAGTCCTGACTATGATCTTTGGGAGCTACCATAACAAAAATAAATAAACTCAGTTGTAGCAAATCAGGGAATTCTATACATGATTCCATTTAATCTCACAAGATACATATTAAAGTTCAGTTATTCCCCACCTCTCTACAAACAAAAGCCTAGAAGATATAACATTATAATGTCACCCACCCTGATTAGTGGCCGGGAGACTTGATTGGATCTGCGGGGTGTACCAGACAGCTTTAGACTGAAAGGCAGAGTGTACGCAAGGGTGGGCCCCCTAGCACTCTGCTGCCCATAAGCCAGCAAGAGAGAGAGCAATGGGAATCGACTAGCTCCTTGCTTCCCACAATAGGTAATTTAAACCCTTGATGGGGGTTTCCAAGCCTCTTGCCCCACTTTAGCTGAACCCACTCTCCAGCCCTGTAGCTATCTGTGTTTAGGATGCTGTGGGTCTGATTGATCCTCTATTTCAGGGTCAGAAGGAATTTTTCCCCGTCAGGGCCAAGTTGGCTGAGGCCTGGTTGGTTTTTTTGCCATCCTCATAGGATCCTGGAGACAGAGTAAGTTAAATAGGAAAAGGACTTAGAAATGTAATATTAGGATATATGAACACTTAGATTGTTGCAATTTGCAGCTGGTGTCCAGTGCAGGAAAGAAACCAAAAGGGCCAGTCCCCAGAAACAAGACACCTGGGATTTTGCTGGTGCTCCACTGGCCTTTGAGAAAAGGGGAGACCTGAACTGCAGACCGAGAAACCTTTTTAGTACCTTCTGTCCCCTTCATGGGGGAGGAGGCAAGAGGTTTCAGCAGAGCAAGCTGAACCCTAGGGATAGGCAGTGGAGCGTCACCCTTGAGTTATCAACTGTGACAGGTTGTATCAGACCCTGAGACCCCCCTGCTGGAGTCCTCATGGTCCTACCACACCCTATCCCAGAAAGAAGCAGTGGAGGTGAGTCCTTCAAGTGGCCTAGAGAGGCTGCATGGGAAACATCCAATCAGGGACAGGCTGCAGGGAAGCAGCAAATCCAGGAGCTGCAGTAATTGAGCAGAGTCAGTTGCTACTGGGGGTCAGAGGAGTGAGGATGGTGTTCCTAGCTGGCTGAAGGAACTGTAATGCCTTGGACAGAGCAGTTGCTGGCAGGTACTGGGAGAGGAAGAGGGAGCTCCTGGCTGGTTGCTGGGACTTGGTAGCTGTAAGCTCTAAGGTAAGGGTGAAGAAGGTGAAGGGGCTATTGGGAAGTTGCCCAGAGAATCATAGCAGCATTATGAGCAGTTGAAAGGGACACAGTGGCATGTGGCTGCTATTCATAGGGTCCCTGGGTCGGGACCCTGAGTCGTGGGCAAGCCCGGATCTCTCCACTGACTAGAGGTGGAATGGCCAAGGCTCTGATTTAAGGGATTGAATACCCCGAAGAGCGTCAGTGATATTGGACTTTAATACACCCCTGGAAGGGACCTGAACTGTTTAGTGGCCAACCTGGACAGTTGGGACCAGAAAGGCCCAGAGAAGGCAAAGACATTCCCTCCAGGGAGGGAGCCCCAAGGGGCACGGCCCCCTACCAGGGCAGGATTGTTTAAAGACTGTGGGATTAAAGACTGAGCCTGAGGGAGGGCTCCAGGAAGAGACATTCCAACCAAGGGGCACGGGGATAGGTCCCTGTTGGTCTGTTTACACTGGAAGGGGATTGTTTTGTGGTGTGTTACACATATGGATTGTATGTGACTTGGGTGGAGGGCTGAGTCATGGAAGACCTACCACAGTTAGAGAGAGTGTAGGCACACACACTCAGCCAAGGGGGCACCTGTGAGAGGTGAGTGCCACCCTGTTACATCGACAATATGATGGGA